CAGGTCAACATTTTGTTCTTAGGAGCATACTGCCTAGCTTAATCTTTATCGCTTATCCCAATGCAAAACTCAAAGCAAAGTTGTGTGATTTTGGTCACCTTGACCTTCAAAAGGTCAAACAAGGTCACTGACCTCAAATGGGCATGTCAGTTTTTGCTTAAAACAGCTACCTTGGTTCCAGGGGTCCTTTGGAGACCAGCATGGAATTTGACCTTGTTTGACCATACCTAACCAAAAGTCGTGACCTACGAACGTCAAACTTTGATCTAAGTGATCCCACGTGCAGGTCAACACACCCTGTGAATTGGTGTCTCTAGCTCTCTTAGTTCCTAAGATCTCAGGGGTCAAACTCCGCCCTCCCCCCCAACCCCCCACCCACACGAAGGGTATCCAGCTGGCCTCCCGGGCGAGTGTTAAAAATTTGACTATGTCTTGGACTCACGAATCTCCTGTCGGTTTTTAACGAAATATGAGTTCACGGATCCTTCTCTCCCTCATGACGCTCCAGCACACTTATCTATTTACTTGAACCTTCTAAGTTTCCCTCCAACCCTTCGAGCTATCGCCCCACCTCGCTTGCTAACTGTGCTTCTAACATATTGAAAGAAATGGTCAACGGACGTATCAGGGTGTTCCTAGTTCCTAATTTGCCTTTTTTCGTTTTTTTCAGGACCGCTTTCGTCCCGGCCGCTTGACGACGATCAGCCTGGTCCACATTATAAATTCAATTCAGCTCGGGTGTCAGATTAAATCAGGCACGGTGACACTATTCATGGATTTAAAGGCCGCTTCGACGAGGCGAATAGAAGTGCCTTCCTCAGTAAACTGCATGAAATCTGAGTTCACGGCCGACTCGCCGCTTTCATTAAAAACTTCCTGACTGATGAAACGTTTTCTGCGCGTTGCGGAACTATGCTCTGTTTATCATAAGCAAGAACGTAATTAAAGCTGGTCAATCAATTCGTCACGAGCATCACGCTAAATTTTTTTCAAACTCAACAAAACTGGTCGGAAGGCCTGCAGGACAGCACTGCCGATCTCTCGAGGCAATAGCAGTTTTGGATGCTTGCATTGCTTGCAGCAACTTCATGTTCATATGGTTGGTCGAAATATATATATATATATATATATATATATATATATATATATATATATATATATATATATATATGTACCATGGTGACCGCACGCCATGCAGTTACGTGTGGAGTGTTTGAGCTGGATGCATTGCACATATATCTGCAGCTGAATGTTCAGCGTTTTGTGGAATACCTTCAATAAAACTGAGTGAATTAATTTTCTGTGTTTGGGATTTTCCCATGTTATTTATGAAACAGCACCAGTGTGGAGCAATTACGGATTGAAAGCATACCAGCGTTATATATATATATATATATATATATATATATATATATATATATATATATATATATATATTGGCACTGGGGTTATTTTCGTTGGCAATTGTTTTTACTAAATTTGTTCTCTAAATAAAAAAATGTCATAAATTCATTGCCTACCTTCGAAGCAAGTTATGGTATACTTTCATTCCGTAATTGCTCCACTCTGGTGATGTTTCATAAATAACATGGGAAAATCCCAAACACAGAAAATTAATTCACTCAGTTTTATTGAGGTATTCCATAAAACGCTGAACAGTCAGCTGCAGATATATGTACAATGCATCCAGCTCAAACACTCCACACGTAACTTCATGCCACATCCACGTAAACGCTATGAAATCAGTTCAAAAGAACGAAACGGAGACACTTCTCATGATCGATGTGTCATACTGTTCTCATTCATCGTTGTCGCTACCGGAGCCGGTGCCGGAGTCGCTGCTATCATCGGTTGTTACGACAACCGGTGGGAGATCTAGCAGCCCGTCATTCGTCCAGTACTGCTGCTCCAGCCTTTTGACGTGCTCACAGCACTTACTCCAGTCCTCTGGAGAGACAGCTGCGACACCTGCCTCCACCAGCCGTTCCACCTCCTCCATTCGCCCCGTCAAGTTCCTCCGTCTGATCACGCGCTTCATCTGTGCCCACATTAACTCTATCGGGTTCAAGTCGCAGTGATACGGCGGCAGACGAACGATCCGATGTCCATGATCTCTAGCAAGGTTGTCCAGAAAATATTTCTTCTCCCGGTTCTGGGACTTGACTAGCTCCAGCAGCTCCACCTTCCGCATGTCTTCGTCGATGGTCACACCTGCCTACTGCAACCACTCCTGGATTTCCGCTTTACGCCAGCTAGAAGTTGGCACTTTTTGGCATAAACGGGAATAATATGAGGCATTATCTATGATGATCAGGATCTTGCGCTTGTCGATCCTTCGGTACTTAAATCCGTTCGCGAGTAGGTGTTTTCTTGCAGTGGATCTAGACATGGTGATGCCGAGTTGTTCGTGAAGAGCATCCGTGATGGTGTCCAGAGTAACATGTTTTCCGTCGATGTACATTTGGTGTACCATTCTCCTCATTGCGCAAACATCGAACGGATCTAGATCCACCCTTGGTCTTGCTGCAGCTGGTCGGGATCGGCTTGGCGACTTCAGTCTGGCACCATTCTGGGCTTCACGTTGTATGCGGTAGACTACAGTCTTTCCAACGCCCGTTACAGCTGCTGTTCTTAATAATGAACTCTCCCGGACGGCGTCGTCGTCTCCCGCGTTCAACTTCATGTCCCAGTCTTCGACAAAATGTTGATACACATCATAAACAATTTCACTACTTTGTGCCCCAAAGAATCCTTCCAGACGCTAGATTAGATTTTTCATTCATTGGTAAGTAGGTGCTAAAAGATATAAGAGATATAAAAAGACAATGAATTACACAGGTAAAACAATATAAAAACTTTTCACTGCGTGAAATATTACCGCAACAGCAAAGTGATGCCGGTCATGATGCCGGTAATTTTGGGGCTACAGCACACTCGAATGATGACCCACGCGCAAAAAAACGCACAAAATCGTTGGCAGCACTTTAATTCCGTTATTTCTTATGATAAACAGAGCATAATTATTCTTCTCCCACGGCGCAGGATCACGGTCTTCCTCAGGGCAGTGTCTAATCCCCAGCCTTGTTCTTTGTAATGATAAAGGCTGTTTTCAATAATATTAATTAGATTTCTCCACATTTTCGGTATTTTCTTCACGCGGACAACCTGGCCGTGTGGCATACGCATGCTTATGTCAATCACGCACTGCATTATATACAATTAGCTTATAAATGATATGTGTGGTGTACACGGAGGGGACTGCAGATTTCCCCCGTTAAGTCAGCTGTAGTTACCTTTTCTAGGCAAAACAATGTTCAACCTCCCCCCCCCCCTATCTTCATGGTGAAATAGTCACTCTAGTTCACATTTGTGAGAGCCGTGGAATAACGTAAGATCGTCGTCTTGCAATGCTCATCTTGATGACCTTACGCAACGCTGCGCCAGACGACTAAACATAATGAAATGCATAGCAGGACGGGATAGGGGCGCCGACAGACGCACTCTCCTCCGCCTCTATACCTTCCTGATACGCCCGATCTTGGACTGCAACGGCTTTCCTTTTGATAATATTTCTTCACAAGAAGTCGAAACCTGCGCGGCTATCCAGAACGCAGCCCTCTGCATAGTGACTGGTGCACTTCGCACCTCCCCGGTCCCAGATCTGCCCGCGGGCACGAATATCCCCTCCTTGTCACACCGACGAAAATTGCAACGTTTCAGATTTTACGCACGCGCCACAGCGCTTTGGCAACCTCACATACAACACCCTCGCACACCTCCGCCGAAACCGCACACTTACCAGCGCGGACTCCAGCATCCAACTATCCGCACTCGCTTTATTCGAGCGTAACGGGCACTTAATCTCCCGGGCATCCCCTGCAGCCCAACTCCCAGTCCGCGACCCTTTTGGGGCGACCGTATACCTAACAAAATCTTTCTGTATAAATACACAAAATAAAACTTATCAGAAACCGAAGTGCTTGCACTCTTCGTTGTGTTTAAAGGAGAACATGACCAGCACATCTTTATTTATGCTGACGGCTCCCGACGCTATGGCCGCACAAGAGCTGCCTTCGTACATCATAATACCAAAATCAAACCGCCTGTCAAATTACAATACTGCGTATACGGTTGAACTGACAGCAATCCTGGAAGCCCTGCTCTACATCAAGCAAGGTAACCTACAAAGGGCAGTGATATGCACCGACTCTCATTCGTCGTTACAAGCTCTCATCACTCTTCATAATTCATCCCACCCAACTTCAAACGGCAAGCGACGAACGTTCTGATCCCTCCCCCAACAAACTCACGTAATATTTCTCTGGATACCTGGTCACGCAAATATTCATGGAAACAGCACTGCTGACAAAGCAAAACGAAGCCTCATGCTTCCGGAACGTTACCATCTGCATTGTCCCGTTTCTGATATTCTAGCAGTCATCAATTTACATTTCTGTCTCTTTCTCCAATCCGAGTGGGATCAACGCGCTCATCACCGCCTGCACGTAATCAAACCCTTACTTCAGCACTAGCCGACAATTTACCAAGATATTCGCCTCAAGGCGCTGCTTGCCAGACTGCGTACCGGTTGCACCAAAATCACCCACTACCACCTTTTCGAGCATTCCTCCGCTTTCATCGCTGCGACATCCCACTCACAATAAATCACTTCCTCCCCGTGTGTCCAGTACACCAACGATAAGGACAATCGCACATCAATTACAGCAACGCTAATCGGCTTCCATTCACTTCCATTCTTTCCTTGGTGATTCCTATCCTAATTTGCTGGTTTTCCTCTTTGAGTTTTTACACAGTACAGGTCAGGATGATTTCATTTAAAAAGGGTTTTCCTGCATAATTTGGCAAATATTGCAGGTTTTTCCCTATTGGGTAGGAGTCCTGATTTTTGTTAGGACTTTCCAGAACTAAAAAAAAAAAACATCACAGCACTACAAGGTAGTGCCGGACGGCGGAGCCCGGGGCGGCTCTCCCCGTTGTTGTGATGGAGCGGCCCGGCACGGCATCCAACCATCCCGCATGCCGCTGACAGGTCAGGTGGGCCGGGGCCACCGTTGACACAGACACCACACAAGGGACTGATGGCACCCGGGTGTGGCGAAAGGGCTGGTGAGGGGGATCTCCTGTCGTTCAAGGGTGCTGAATGTGTGTCTTGTGACGCAATTATATCTATTGCTGCGGTCTGCGTTACTTGCTATGATCTTGGTGGACAAAAATGGGCCAGGCTAACGTAACGTCACTTCAAAATACCCTCTCCCTTGCTTTGTGTCGGGCAGCATAAGCCGGTTTAGCGTAATCCTTGCTCGGCCTCATGCCGGCGGTAAATCATCCCGGTAATTTTTTACTTTGGTACCTGTATGGCCGACGGAGGGAAGAGCTACGCTAGCTGCCGGGTTCCGAGTATTGTCGTGCGGGGGGAAAGCTGTGAGGCATCAGCTGACATTGTGACGTCACTGAAAATGGTTTTGCATCGATCGGGATCGGGGTTCTTTCGGGCCGACTGAAGGCCATAAGGCTTTTGCTTGTGATATGGTGTCACTGGTATTCGGCTGGGTATGTGACGTCACTGGTCGTGAGTTTGTAAGGCTCTTTTGGGTCCACTGAATGCCGTAATGCATCAGCTGGCCATGTGTCGTCACTGGTATTCGATTAAACATCAGGCGCGACCGGCCTCGTTCCATCTTTACTTTTCGTACCTGTCTGCTGCAAGCATTTGCGTGCCGCACAAAGGTTTGACCGAATCACCTCAATGCGTGACGTCCCTAATCATCACTTCATACGAGTGCACTTACGCCCCGCGACCACGGTGTGTCATGGTCCGCGAAGTATCACCGGATAGCGTGATGTCACTGGTATTCCAATAAATACTGGGCGCAACAGGCCGTGCTTCATTTTTACCTTTGTACCTGTCTACTGCAAGCATTGGCGTGCTGGATGAAAGCTGCCGGACCACCTGAGTGTGTGACGTCACTGGTCATGAGTTCCACCGGTGCTTTTCGTCCAACTGAAGACCGCAAGGTGTCAGCTAACGACGTCACTGCTACACGTTTCCACGGGCCCTTTAGGACCGACGAAATGCCTTAAGGCATCAGCTGGCGATACGACGTCACTGGTATTTAGCTGAACATCAGGCAACAGGTCATGCTCCATTTATACCTTTCGTATATGTCTGCTGCAAGTATTGGCGGATTTTTTTGCGGCCAACTGAAGACCATAAAGCATCAGCTAACGATGTGACGTCACTGGCATTCGACTGTGCGTGTCGCTGGTCATGAGATTTTACGGCCTGTTTTGGGCCGACGAAAGGTCATACGGCACTGACTGACGATGTGACGTCACTGGTATTCGAATAAACTTCGGGCGCGACAGGCCATGTTCCACCTTTATCTTCGGTACCTGTCCATTGCAAACATTGCCGTGGAAGGCTCTGCCAAATTACCTGAGTTTGTACGTCACTGACCATTAATTTAGATACTCTTTTGAACCTACTATGGGCCACAAGGCTGACGATATGATGTCACTGGGTTTCGACTAGACATCATGCACAACAGGCCATGCTCTACCTAAGCCATGTTTCGTCTGTACCTTTCGCGCCTATCTACTGCAAGTATTCGCGCGACACATAGGGGCTCTGCCGAATTACCTGAGCGAGTGGTGTAACTAGTTATGAGTTTACGCGGGTTTACTCTGGCTGACCGAAGGACATCAAGCATCAGCTGGCGATATGACGTCACTGGTATTCGACTAAACTCCAGGCGCGACGGGCCATGTTCCATCTTTACCTTTCGTACCTGTCTCTTGGAAGTATTGGCGTGCTGAATGAAGGCTCTGTCGAGTCTCCTGAGTAAGTAACGTCACTGGTCAAGAGCTTTTTACGGGACCTTTTGTACCCCCAAACGGTATAATACATCAGCTGACGGTATGACGTCACTGGTGTCCGACTTAACATCAGGCGCGACAGGCCATGTTCTATCTTTACCTTTCGTACCCGTCTATTACAAGTATTGACGTGCTGAATGAAGGCTCTGTCGAGTCTCCTGGGTGTGTAACGTTACTGGTCATGAGTTTTTTCTGGCTCCTTGGAACCCTCTATAGGGAAAATGCATCCGTTGACGACATGATGTCAATGGTGTTCGACTTAACATGAGGCGTAACAGGTCATGTTCCATCTTTGCCTTTCGTACCTGTAAAGTATTGGTACGTTAAATGATGGCTCTGCCGAGTCACCTGAGTGTGCGACGTCACTGGTCATGAATTTTTACCAACTATTTTTGGCTGAGCGAAAGCCATAAGGCATCAGCTAACGAAATGACGTCACTGGTAATCCACTGAGTGTGTGACGTCACTGGTCATGAGCTTTTACGGGCCTTTTTTGGCCGAGTTCAGGCCATTAGGCATCAGCTAACGTTGTGGCGTCATTTGTATTCGAATTAACATCAGTTGCAATAAGCCATGTTTCATCTTTACCTTTCGCACCTGCCTACTGCAAGTACTCGATATTTTTTATATCTGAAACATGGCTGTCTGAAACATTTTTTCTATATCTGAAACATGGCTGTCTCCAGCTTTGGAATCTCATTATGACTTGCCTGGATACCGAGCTTTCTACTGCAGCAGATCAAAAGGGGTAGGTGGTGGATCAGCAGTATACATTGCTGATCATCTTCATCCTATACAACTTTGGAACCCAGTTTTCTCTACAGCTGAAGTGGTTTGTGCTGAACTACTCTGTGATAATGCTAATATTATCATTTGCCAAATTTATAGGTCACCCAACACTGACAAACACCACTTCAACTCAGAGCTAGAGCAATGCCTAATTTGGCTTAATAAAATGAACAAAGTTACATTTATTACTGGTGATTTCAACTTTGATCTGTTCTCACTTGATATCAATCCTAATGTGCATGCATTTTTCACCAACATGTGTTCAAATGGCTTCTTTCCTACAATATCCAGGACAACTCGGTCTTGCTATCCATCATGCACTCTTCTAGATAACATATTTTGCAATGACTTGTTAAAAGTGATGCATACAGGCATTCTCCTTCATGATTTGTCTGATCATTTCCCTATTTTTGCTTCCACGAACTATGCCTCACACCCACACTCACCTGATGTTCGAACACCCATTACCACATTTGATTACAGAAGGCTGGAAGAATTTAAACAATTCCTTGTTGACCATCTGGTTGATATTGAAAATGAGCCAGAACCTGATGCTATTGCAAATCAAATTGTGTATATTTACAATGCTGGGATCACCAGGTTTTCTCACACAAGGCACATTTCTAGAAAGACCAGCTCACGCAAACCATGGGTGTCACCTGCACCTCTTCTATCAATTACACGTAAAATCAAGTTATTTGAACAGAAATTGAAGAACCCCAGTCCCCACAATATTGCAACATACACTTGCTACCGCAACATTCTAACTACATCTCTTAGGCTAGCCAAAAAGAAATACTACAGTAACGAATTCAGTAAATATTCTGGGAATTCCAAGGAAACATGGAAAACATTACACACTCTCATCAATTCAAAACAAAAAAAGGATGCAGATCCAACCAGGGTTATTGGTACTAATAACAAAATTATCACAGACGATCCGGATATCGCTGAATCATTTAACCTCTTCTTCAGCGAGATTGGACAACAGTTAAAAGACGAGATGCCTAAATCATCTTTCGACCCCCTCCAGCTCATCACAAATGTCGAAAATGAAATGGATCTGCCCCCCACTAATGAACAGGAATTAATTCTTCTCATCGATGGGCTAAACAACGTCGGAGCTGGAGTCGACAATATTAGTTCAAAAATATTCAAGTTATCTTATAAGGTTATAATCACACCAATTCTCCATATTTTCAACAGCTGTTTGTCCTCGGGGATATTTCCAAGCATTTTCAAAAGGGCCGTGATTAAACCCATCTTTAAAAGTGGGGACTCGCAACTTGTAGATAATTACAGACCTATCAGTATTTTGCCGTTTATGTCCAAAATTCTTGAAAAACTTAAATATAATAGACTCGTCCTTCATCTAAACCAAAACCAGCTAATTCACCAAAATCAGTTCGGATTTCAGAAGAACAAAAGTACTTACATGCCAATTCTTCTTCTGCAGGAAACTATTACAAAGGCTTTTGAAAATGGGGAATATGTGTTAGGTTTGTATTTAGATCTGAAAAAAGCCTTTGACACTGTAAACATTAGCCTTTTTCTACGTAAACTTACTAAATATGGTATTCGACGAAAATCTCATGAAATCATTTCTTCATATTTGTCTGGCAGAACTCAATGTGTAAAAATCAGGAATGATCTATCAACAATCAAAAACGTAACAATGGGGGTACCCCGAGGATCCATTCTCGGCCCAATCCTCTTTTTAATGTACATAAATGACCTACCTAAATTAAGCAGTAACATTATTTGTCTGTCTTATGCTGATGATACTGCGATTGTTTTCAAAAATAATAGTATTGTCGAGCTTCAAAACAATGTCAGTACGCTTTTGCTTCTAATGACTTCTTGGTTTGCTGCTAATTTTCTCTCCCTGAACGTATCAAAAACATTCACACAGCATTACACAACCCTTTCTTTGCATTTCCGACTAAATGTGCAAATTAATAATTCACCTATTGAAGAGAAAAAAGAAATTAAATACCTTGGTGTAATCATTGACAAATCTCTTAAGTTTACAAGCCACACTAATTTTGTTGCAAGCATAGTAAGCAGAGCTATTGGAATAATAAGTAGGGTTAGGTACTTTATTGATAAAACAACGTCACATCTACTCTATAACACTTTGATTCTTCCTTACCTAAATTACTGCTGCTTGGTTTGGGGCATAAATTATGCTTCTCAACTAGATCGATTGGTAATTTTGCAAAAAAGGGCTGTGCGTCTTATAGAAAATGTGTATCCTCCGCAAAGCTCAGAGCCAATCTTTGAACGATACAAAATTTTGAAACTATCGGATATTGCTAAATCTCAAATGTTAATTGTGGTGCACAAATTTTTAACTTCACAGCTCCCTGCATCATTCGATTTAATTTACAATCTCTACGAATCCAATGACATGGATATGAGGCGAGCAAAATATTTAGAACAACCTTTCTCTTATCGTAATTATAGACTATTTACAGCATCTTGCCTTGGCCCTAAGCTGTGGAACGACATTATGGTTCCATATTTTCCAAGAATATCTGATATCCCTGTATCGAAAACCATCGTTAAGAACATCATCCGCAAGCATTTCGTGAACACATATTAACGTAACAAACATATTTGAAGACATTGCCATCCTTGTGCTGTACATATCCAACGCACTTCATATTTGACCTCCTTCATGTTTCATAATCAATTTCTGATATAAAGTCATGCACATATACCCAAATTAATGGCGCTGGCTCCGGAAGTTCTCCCAGCAACAAGCTCTGCTTAGCTGGGTGGACTCCCTGGAAATCCAGCCCAAAACCCAGCACAAAAATGACCAGGTAATTGCCCCCTCCGACTTGTGACTGTATAACCCTTACTAACACCGGGAATTGAGTGGTTGTAGATTATTGGGCGGTTGTAGCGGGCTGTCATTAGCTGATTTTGGCTAATGACTACTTTAAGCCTTTTCATCTATGATTTTTCCCTCCCTCTCACATAGCACAATTCCCTCGGGTCTGCTCCACCTCCTCGCCTGTTTTTTTAAGTTTGTTTGATCTTCCTAGCTGGGAGTGCCGCGACTTGATTTTATGTTTTCTGGTGTTAACGTACGGTTTACTGCGTCGCTGGGATTGAGGGAGGGGCACTCCTGGTTACCTGTTCTTGGGTAACGGCGTAGAAAAAAAAATTCGTGCGCTACAAAAAGGCTCTGTCGATTCGCCTGAGCGTGTGGTGTAACTGGTCATGAGTTTGTGCAGGTTTACTCGGGCTGACTGAAGGACATCAGGCATCAGCTGACGACATGACGTCACTGGTAATCGACTAAACTCCAGACGAATCATCTGAGTGGGTGACGTCGCTGGTCATGAGTTTATACGGCTTCACTTGGGCCGCCCAAGGCCACAAAGCAACACCTCCCGTGAAGCATCATAGGATGATATGTCGCCACTGTTATTCGACTTAACATCAGGTCCAACATGCCACGTACTTTCTTTACCTTTCGTACCTGTCTATTAAAGGTATTGACGTGCTGAATGAATGCTCCGTCGAATCTCCTGAGTGTGTGACGTCACTGGTCACGAGTTTTTTACGGGCTCTTTTGAACCCATTATAGGTTATAATGCATCAGCTGACGACATAACGTTACTGGTGCTCGACTAAACATCAGGCGCAACGGGTCATGTTCCATATTTGCCTTTCGTACCTGGCTGCTGCAAATATTCGCGTGCTATATGAAGGCTCCGCCGAATCACCTGAGTATGTGACGTCACTGATCATCAGTTGGTAGGAGGTCGCTTGGCCACCTATGGTTACGAAATTCCGCAGCAGAGGTGGGAGATGCACCATAGTTAAGCACACTAATTTTATTGTGCGCACCATTAAGTAACAACTTCAAACGCAGCGGGCTGTTTCAACGACTAAAATTTTGAACAAACGTTAACACAAAACAAAGGGGATCCCAGCCCAAAAACCGACGTATATGCAAAGCTATTCCGCCCTACATCACAGGATGCGCCCCTGAGCAGCTACGGTCTGGAATGCCCTGATGGCTAAATAATAATCAAGGGCGCCGCCTAGCGGCCATAAGTCTGGGCCACAGCCCGAATATCAGTGACGTCATATGTTCAGGCGATGCTTGATGTCCTTCAGTCAGCCCGAGTAAGCCCGCGTAAACTCATGACCAGTTACACCACATGCTCAGGTGATTCGGCAGAGCCTTTATGTAGCGCGCGAATACTTGCAGCATAGAGGTGCGAAAGGCAAAGATGGAACATGGCCTGTTGCGCCTGAGATTAAGTCAAATACCAGTGATGTCGTTTCGTCAACTGATGTCTTGTACCTTATAGGTACAAAAAAGCAGCCCGTAAAAAACCCATGACCAGTGACATTACACACTCAGGAGATTTCACAGAGTTTTCCTTAAGCATGTCAATGCTTACAATAGACAGGTACGAAAGGTAAAGACGAACATGGCCTGTCGCGCCTGGTGTTAAGTTGAATACCAGTGACGTCACATCGCCAGATGATGCTCAATGTCCTTCAGTCAGCCCGAGTAAACCCGCGTAAACTCATAACCAGTCACACCACACGCTCAGGTGATTGGGCAGAGCCTTTATGTGGCGCGCGAATACTTGCAGTAGAGAGGTGCGGAAGGTAAAGATGAAACATGGCATATTGTATCTGTTACTTAATTGAATACCAGTGACGTCATATCGTTACCTGATGCCTAATGGCCTTAAAACTCATGACCAATGGCGTCACACACTTAGTGGATTACCAGTGACGACATATCGTTAGATGATGCCTTATGGCTTTCACTCGGCCAACAATAGCCTGTAAAAACTCATGACGACGCACTCAGGTGATTCGGCAGAGCAATCATTAGGCTCGCCAATACTTTAACAGGTGCGAAAGGCAAAGATGGAACATGACATGTTGTGCCTGATGTTAGGTCGAACACCAGTGACATCATATCGTCAGCTGAAGCATTATACCATGTAGGGGGTTGAAAAGAGCCCGTAAGAACTCTTAACCAATGACGTGATATAACACACGAATGCTTGCAGTAGACAGGTACGAAAGGTAAAGATGGAACATGGCCTGTTGCGCTTGATGTTGAGTCGAATACCAGTGACGTCATATCATCCCGCGATGCTTCACAGGATATGATGCTTTGTTGCATTGGGCTGCCCAAGTGAACCTGTATAAACTCATGACCAGTGACGTCACGCACTCAGATGGTTCAGCATCACCTTGATAAAGCACGCGAATGCTTGCAGTAAACAGGTACGAAAGGCAAAGATAGAGCATGGTCTGTCGCGCATGACATCTAGACGAAAACCGGTGACGTCATATGGTCAGCTGATGTGGTATGGCTTACGGTGGGTTCAAAACAGTCTATACAAATTAATGGTTAGTGACGTTACACACTCAGGTAATTCGGCAGAACCTTCCTTCAGCATTCAAATGCTTGCAATGGGCAGGTACCAAAGGTAAAGATGGAGCATGGACTGTCCCGCCTGAATTGTATTCGGATACCAGTGACGTCACATCTTCAGTTAATGTCGTAAAACCTTTCGTCGGCCCAAAAGAGGCCGTAAAATCTGATCACAAGTGACATCACACAGTCGAATGCCAGTGACGTCACATCATTAGGTTATGCTTTACGGCCCTCAGTTGGCCCCCAAAGGTCCTTAAAAATGCATGACCAGTCACGTCACACACTCACGTGATTTGGTAGCTTTTATTCATCACGCCAGTACTTGCAGTAGACAGGTACGAAGGTAAAAATGAAGCATGACCTGTTGCGACCAATATTTAGTCGAATATCAGTGACGTCGCGATACCCGGTGATATTTCACGGAACATGATACACCGCGGCCGTGGGGCCTAAGTGCACTCTTGTCAAGTGATGATTAGTGACGTCACACATTCAGGTGATTCGGTCAAGCTTTTATTCGGCACGCAAATGCTTGCAGCAGACAGGTACGAAAGGTAAAGATGGAATAAGGCCTGTTGCGCCTGATGTTTCATTGAATACCAGCGACGACATATCGTCAGGTGATGCTTTACGGCATTCATTGCACCCCAAAGAGCCCTAAAGCCTCACAACCAGTGACGTCACATATCCAGTCCAATACCAGTGACATCATATCGCTAGCAAATGCCTTGCAGCCTTCAGTCGGCCCAAAAGAACCCCGATCGTTGCAAACCCATTTTCAGTGACGTCACTACGTCGGCTGATACCTAACCGCATTTCTCCATCACGGCAGTACGGGAACCCTGCAGCCAGCGTAGCTCTCTCCCCACCGTCGGCAATGCAGGTACCCAAGTAAAAATATGCCACCTTGTCATGGTTATAGCCAATATTACATGTCTTCTTTGACCCAGAGCTCTTGGTTTTTATCATTTCAGTATAAAGTATAAATCATTCAATATGGAGTTTTTTGTGGGGGGGGGGGGGGGCACTGTATGCACCCAATGTGCGGTGTTCCTCCATTTTTTTGGGTGCATGAGACCAATCAGTGGGTCAAATGTTCTGCAAAGTAGGACACAACCCCAGAGTATTTTGCACTGACAGCATGGATACATGAATGTGCAATGTAATTGGAAGCACAGGCTAAACAATATAAATCAATCATTTGATTGATGTACTGTATTGATTGTATTGATTGATTGATGTACAGTACTTGACATTCAAGGCTGTGCTTATGACCATGCTCAAACATTTTCAGTCTTGTATGCACATTTCAAATGTGCATCTGGGGAAGTTAATATTTGGTAGTTTATTAGTAGTAGTAAGTGTAAATGAATATTTCTTGTGATGACAGTTTACTGCAAAACATAATTTGAAGACTAGTTTGAGTGAGCTTAAATCAAACTAACTTTATGGCATGCTTGGCACTTGTTGCAAAAGGGATAATCATTGGAATCATCTACCTGCTGGTCATGAACTGAATGCCCTGAAATTTCTGCTGCTGCTGTCCTTAAGTTAATATAGTGGGACTGGTACATGAGTGTGAAATGTAAATATGCTTGTGCATTACAGGTGTCAAGAGCAGGAAAGACATGGCTGACACAGAAAAGCTGGGAAAACAAGGATGGTATGGCCTTTGGTGGCTAGCTTTTTTGTTGTGATTTATGTGATCCAGTTTTTAGTGGCTTCCATCCTAGTTGTCATACTAAGACTGTGACATTTGAATGATACCCATGCAGATTTGCTGTCCTTTGATTGTCAGTCACTAATGCACAATATGAACAATTTCCATGCCCCACAACATTTTGCTCTTGCAGGTACATGACAGACAATGGCCTTAAGAAGCTCTGCAGCGGAAACAAGCTATCAGAGGCAGAAGTGATAAAGGTGGCCATGGATGTAAGATCTTTTTTTTGCACAAGGCCTGTTTTGTACTATCCCACTAAAATCTTCTTGGTTCACCACATTTATTTCTTGGCAAGAAGCAGACTTAAATCTCACTTTTATGGGACCAAAACTGATCTAAGATTCTATGTTATGCAAGTATTTCCAATGCTACCATTTGTCTGTGTTCCCTTTCAGTGTTGTGTTGTATAACCTTTTGATTATTAGATATATGAAATGTTGTTAAGGCCACAAATCCTTAATGAACTAGGAATATGAGTCAGTTGTTGCCAAACTACTCCCAACAGTTTCCAAATAGTCACATCTCAGTTATTTCAGACTGACCTCAAGGAATATGGAAAGGGTCATATCCCAGAGAACTGGAACAAGAATGATATTGTAAGTAATTCTTTGGTTTTGGAACACATGTTTCATGCCATCAGTACAGATGCTTAACACCATTACATACATCTGAGTGGCTGTTGAAAGTTTAATTGATCTCCTGAGGAAATAGCTCTGGCTTAGCTTATTTGCCTTCAGTCCATTCATCCATGGAAAGAGAGATTATTCACATGAGTTGCATCCACGGTACATGCCATTGCATCTAAGTACAAGCCTTTTGTGATTCCTTAAGTGTATGCCATAAACCTGAGTTGCTTTATGCAACATGACAATGCAAATAGTGTCTGTGTGGTGCAAACTCATGCAATGGCATTGTCACAACAATCAGTGGATTGACCTCCAGGACTTCTGAACCTCCATGTGTTACAATGGTGATGTTGCAATGATAACATTCCCATTCCAGGAGTGATCAGACCATAAACATGATCATTTTGCATAGTTGTATACTTAATGTGCACTGAGGTGGCTGGTTGGATACCCTTTGCTCAGGTGGGGGGGGGGGGGGGGGTCATTTTGACCTTCCTGAGATCCCAGCAACTAAAAAAGTGAGAGACACCAAATTCACAAGGTGTGTTGACCTGTGCATGAACTCACATAGGTCAAATTTTTAGGGTTCTAGGTCATGACATTGGGGTCAAATAAGGTCAAACAAGGTCAAATTCCAGGTTAGTGTTCAAAGGGCCCCTAGAACCTAGATAACTGTTCTGAGCAAAAGGTCACATGCTCATTTAAGGTCAGTGACTGCTTAGCTATTTTAAGGTCATGGTGACCATAATCATGCAAGACTGCTTTGTGTTTTTCATTTTTATAAGTGCCAAAGATTACACTAGGCAATATGTTCCTAAAAACAAAATGTTGATCTGGGTCGTTTTGGGTCGGTGACCCATTCTGACCCTTAGGAAGTCAATGAAAGGTGTATAATGTGGTTCCTGATATCAATCAGTTTGAAGTGAGCTCCACAAACTACCCCATATGGCAAGCCCTAGAGTAATATAACAGGTTGGTTTTGACCTTGGAATGACCTTCATGCCTGACCCTAGGTCAATGTATTTGCTCATTCAAGTGTTGTATTGCCTAAGAAAGTATCTCAGAGATTTATGGGTATGGTTTCTTCCAACACTCCATTGTTGGATCAGATTGAACGATTCCCTAGAAATTGCCTTCGCTGAAACCATGGCCATATTTTTACCTGTCATATGTCAGCGACCCTACAAGAAGCGTCAACATTTTTTTATGGCAGACGTTTCGGTATTCAATTTTATACAGCTATGCAAATTTGGCGCGGCTACGCCGCGCTGTTCGGAAACTATTCGGGAAAAGCCCTCGGGAGGTCAAGTTGACCCCCCACACACCCAAGCGCGCGTTAGTCACCTTTTCCGTACTACACGGGATATGAGAATCATAATGTCATACATTAGATAAAACATGACATAATTATACTGAGCAGGAAATAGAAGATGTAGCAATGTACACCAAATGACTCTGCACTGAAATATTCAGCGGGCTCACCTTCCGACATCGCCCGTTAGGTCTCGATCGAGGGCGTTGTCCAGATTCAGAAGGTACGAAACGTCTCGGCCCCCAAGGCAAATGAGGAGAGCCAGGGCGCGCCACGGCTGCTCAGGGTCACACTCAGTGACGGCAACAGCACGGTAACGGTCAGTATGGTTTCGGTACCTCAAGCTTCTGTGTAGTTCAGTCCCGTCTTGGTTCGGGCATAGGTGGTTCACGAGCATGTGCAGAAATGTTTTGTTTACTGGATGCTGTTTTGTAATCTCAGTACGACATTTACACGGAAAAGTCTGCAATGTATCAGCAGGAAAATGAAGATCTCTGGGGGGGGGGGGGGGGGGCAGCTAGTACAGCGTATTTCATGTGACAGTCCTTAGTAGAGCCACGTCAGCATGACCAGTCAGCCTGAGACTTTTGAGCATGACCACCCTCCCGCTGATTCTAGCCTGACCACCGCCCCTGGCCACCTCTCGGCAGGCGCTCGAGGTGGGTCAGTGGAGCCGGCTCGGCCTGAAAAGCGCCCCGGGCACGAAGCTGCGCCTTCGCCAGCCGGTGCCTGTGTGCAGCGGGTTTCTGCTGGTGTCGGACGCGGCGCTGCATGTGCTCGGCGGCCATGTGCCGCTACTGGTGGACAAGTGGCTCATGTCCAAGGCGAGTACCTGCCGCCTGGATCACGAGAGGCAGGGGCTCAGATGAACACGCCGGCTGGAATGCCGTGAGTGAGGATAGCGCATGAGGCAACGCGCCAGTGAAAAGTTGCCAAGACAGGCGCCGATATCTTTGTGTTGTGGCCAGTCAAATCTACTTGATGCTGCTGAGAAAGGGCTCAGCTCTGGGTGTTGGATCATTGTTGCACGTACTCCTCGATGCAAGGTCGCGGTAAAATATTAGTTGAGTGCTCGGGAGGAACGGGTTGAAGTACGCCGAACACCCTACAAGTCATGGCAAATCTCCCCTTTGTAGCAGAGCCTATCCGAGACGGTGCATCTGTATCAATATGAAATCGCACACTCTTAACGGCGGTTTCAAATTCAATGAAACACAATAAGTAGCCCGCAAAGTGTGTATGAAATTTGCGAATTACGAATTGTACGGCTTACTGTATTTCATTCGAATGTGAAACTGCAGTCAGACGTGCGCGGTATGGTTCGGCCTTGGGAGAGTTTGTCAGGCGACTCCTCGTCCTGTTCCTCACTGCTGGCCGAGGCGTCGCGGTTGACCTGAGCATGGTGCCAGCAGGCGTTCGCGTCTCAGGATCTGCGGCCAGCCAGCGGCGCTGCCGGCGGGCCGCCGCCCTGGGTCCCCTTCGGCAAGAGCATCTCGACGGCGCACAAGGCCGAACATAACTTCAAGGTGAGCTCACTACTGGCACTGGGATGACTGGGACTCGTGGGACAATGTGTTGAAGGGAAGGCGCATGGCGGTGCATTATGAGGTGGCGAGCTTGGTGGACTTCGCTGGTTTGACGAAATTGCGTGGTCTTGCGTTGGCCACACATTTTCGGTAGCTGTGTTACATCAGTCAGAGCAAATCGAGGAGTGATATGGTGCCCACAGCCGCCTTGGAACATGTTGGCAAACACGTTGGTCGTTGGTCATGTTTTTTTTCTGTATGCCTATGGTCATTGAAATCAAACCACGTCGTGGCTTACCGTGCCACAGTACGCCAGGTGGTTGTGAACAGACTTCACGTGCTGTCCAGTACCTGCGCAGCCCAGCGCCGTGCGCGCGTGCTCCGCCGACTTGGCGTGACGTGACCTGACCTGACCTAACCTGACCGTCAGTCACTGGCGGGCGGGGAGGAGGTGCCGGTGGACGCCGAGTTCGAGGCGCAGCGGCGCGCGCAGGTCGCCCAGCTGGCCTACGTCGGCCGAAAACAGTTCGGCGGCGGCACCAAACAGGTGAGGCCAGCCGCCTGCGGCACGCGGCTGACCGAGCAGGGCCGGTCTCGTCGGCCGTTGTAGGGAGCCGCAGAAGCTGACGGCCGTAGGTACCGGGCCTGCACAAGCGCTCGTGCTGGGAGATACGAAGAGTTAGGCAGGGCCGGCGACGCTTTCCAAAAAATGTGCGCATCACTTTTAAATCGGTGGCTGGCAACTGACGTCAGCAGCACGCCAAGCCGAGCGGTCCGGGAGTCCCGTGTTTCCCGGTTTTTCGTTAGCGGTGATAAGTCGCTGAACCCGCTGATTGGCAGCGTGCATTGCGCGTTGTCGAGCCGCCACCAGCATCGTTCGCGTGATAACTCTGTGATTAGTATGCATATCAAGAAGCTCATGAAACGACGCCGTGCAGCCGCACGGCGTCGCCTCTGCTGCTTCGTGCAAGGTGTGCCGCGTCCTGGCTTGGGCTTCACTCGCTCTGCTACGGCCGTTGCATGTGTGAACGCTCAGCCGGCAATGTACCGTCAAGCCCCGGCATCATGGTCGTCACGTGATGTGTCGCCGTCAACGCTGCCGTTACCGCCATCAACTGCTGTCATCGACGTCATTATGACAGCGCCGGGGCCGCTGCTGTCATGATGAGCAGAGCAACAGCAGCATTAATGTCATGGCCAAAGCGATCACCATCACTAGTACGTCGAGCCACCGTCATCGTCAGAACCCGAAGTACCGCCGCAACCAACACACAGCCACTACCGTGACCACCGTGGCAGCCATCGCCGCCGTCGTAATCACCATCGTGCCTTCCCTCTGCCGGGCGCAGATGACTGACGGCAACCTGCAGACGCTGATGGGTGCCGGCTTCAGCCAGGAGGAGTCCGAGGCCGCGCTCAAGTACACCTGCAACGACGTGGGTCGTGCCCTGCATAACCTGCAGGTGAGGTGGGCGGGCGCCGCTCAACGGAGGTCCGACCGGGCCGCGTCCGGTGCCTCCCGGCGACGCGAGCGTAACTGGCGCGCCGCCGCCTCTGTTATGCTCTGGCGACGGACCGCCGTTAGGAGTGTGCTACGGGGTTCTACGCATGGCTGCCCGTGTGTGCACGTGGCATGTCATGACATTGCCCAGTTGAGATGTTTCCAATAAGGCCATGCTAGTGCACAGAACGACTGATTTATTGACAGAGCGTGCGTTTGCCCTGACTCCGCTCCAGCTCGCATGATGCTGTTACAAAGGTGTCTTTTGCGTGTTCATCTGCTTGCACTGTCATGCGGGAATGTTTGCCTTAGCAGAAGCCCACTCGCCCGCTAAACCGATGTAACTGGCAACTCCAGCTGCTCGTGACTCACACCGGCGTCATTCACCACTTCGTCCGTTCCTCATCCGCGCCATCGGCGTGACCTGTGCGCATGTCGATCGGCAGCGGTTCCGCGCACGCCAGGAGGGCCGCGACGGCGCTGACGGCGACACGGACCGCGGCCGCGGCCGCGGGCGGGGCGGCGGCCGGGGCCGCGGCGGCCGGTTCGACGACGGCGAGCCGCGTAGCGGCGGCGACGGCCGGCGCGGCCGCCGACGCTTCGATGAGAACGAGGAGCCGTCCAGCCGGCCTTGCGAGCCCGTCACCCTGCTCGACTTTGTTGGCCTGAAGATCGGCACCGCGCCGAGCGGTACGTTGGCGCTGGCGGCCGGGCGCTTAGAGTTGCGCCGAATGTGGTTAGGTTATTTAACGGCGCGTGTGGCTGAGAGCCGCAAAGGTTGTTGGCGGGCCTGAGGCGACAAGGGGGGGGGGGGGGGGGTTGGAGGATGCGGACGGGTGGGTGTTGATATCGGGTTTGACTCGGTTTTTTTTGTCTAAGACCTCCGTTATCGGACCACGTGCGCTTTCGTTGGGTGTAGTTTCCATATGTTCTAATCATTTTTTTTTTACATTGAGTTGTGTAGCTGCGTCCGGTATAAAAGGCTGATCGAATCAGTTAGACCTGGTGCGAATCCAGGCATGCCGTCATTGGCTCCCCATAGTGTCTGCTTGCCACCGCTGTTTTGAAGCTTTTGACCCCCCCCCCCCCCCCCGTTTTGAGCCCTTTTGGCGTGTCTTGCTCATTGTCTTTTATCCTTACCTGCCCCACTTATCGCCGCCCTGATGGCACCCCTCCCTCCCTAGCACCTGCCGAGGTGGGTGATCGGGCGCCTCCACCCGACCGCCAGCTCCCTGACAGCGGCGGCGGCGGCGGCCGGCTGAACTACGGCGGCTCATCGCGCGGCCGCGGCGGCCGGCATTCGGTCCGCCCCACCGGCTCTGACGAGTTCGTGGAGGGCCGTCGGGCGCGTGAGCGGCGCCAGGGCGGCGGCGGCGGACCGGGGGGCGCCGGTGGCCGCTCGGACGACCGGCAACAGTGGCCGGAACTGCCGCAACAGACGGCCGCCGAACCGGCGCCCACCGGCGAGCGCCAGGCTCGGTCCCAGCCGGCGGTCGCCTCCTCGTCTCAGCACCGGTACTCGGAAGAGGAGATGTGCCTCGCGAAGTACTGGGAGGACGGACAGGTGTGTGGAGGTGATGATGGTGTTCCGGGTGGCGGTGCCCGTGACTGAGGGGGCGGGGTTTCTTTTCATGTCGACACCACTAGTTTGCGTTGTAGCTGTTCTGTTTTCTCGTTTTTGGTATGCTGCCATATGTTTGCTCAAGCGAGTCGGTCAGCCTACGCGATCAAAACCTTGAAAGTGCCCTGGGATAGTACTCAAGTGCAAAGAAAACGCACAATTAGTGTGTGGAGGCGAATTTTCGCTAGCTACCAGCGGGATAATGTGCGTATCATGATGCATATTAGCGTTTTGTGATGCCTGGCTGACACGATTGGCCAGATTTCGCCCCTCGTGACGATCTATGGAGCTATGGTATCCAACGCCATGGGCACCGCTTCCTCACCGCCACTGCCATCCACAGATGTACCTGGCTTGTGTGATATCTGAGGGCGACCAGACCTGTGTGGTGAATTTCGTCGACTACGGCGAACACTACGAGGAGGTGCACCTGTCTAATATGCGACCTCTGGGCTTTGTGAGTACCATGTGGCGCGATGCTTGGTGTGTCAGGCGCGTGCTTCACCAGTTGGACGTTTGTTTGCGGCAGTTTGCGTGTGTTCACGGTTTGTCTACAGTTCAAAACGTTACAAGGTGTTTAAACTGTTGGCTGCGACGTGATCTCTGGTAGGCGGTTGAGAGCGAGATCAGACGTCGGTCAAATTGTACGTTTTTACTTTGCAGGCCATCAGTTAACGACCGGTCGTTACGTCATGCCGAATCATTGACTTTGTTCACGGGTTACGGTAGGGGGGCGTAGTGTGGATGTGCGGGAATGCGCGACACCCGCGCGGAGGGACGCGCGCCATGTGGCACCGTGGACGCGCGCCATGTGGCACCGTGGACGCGCGCCATGTGGTCCGCGCCGCGTCACGCCCGTCCGCCGCCGCCGCCAGGAGTCGGAGGCGAAGGAGGAGCCGGCCCGCCAGCCCCTCTCGCGGCCCACCTACGACGAGGAGCCAGAGGAGACATCTGCCCTCTTCAGTCACGGTGGCCGGAGCGGAGGCATGCGTGAGGCGCGGGACGTGCAGGGCTATAGTGCGGCGCCGCGCGGCGGCAGCGGCGGCGGCGGCGGCGGCGGCGGCGGCGGCGGCGGCGGCGGCGGTGGCTACGGCCACGCACATGGCGACGGTGGCGGCGTCTACAGGAACGGGCCGCGGGGCGGCGCCATTGGGCGGGGACGAGGAGGACGCGGCTTCCGCGGTGGCGGCCGGGGCCAGAGGCAGTGGGAGGAGGATGGCCAGGCCAGCCGAGGTTATCAAGGAGGCGGCCGAGGACGGCAGCAGTGGGACGATAACGTACCCCCTCGTCTTCGGAACCGAGGCGGCGGCCGAGGGCAACGGCAGTATGAGGACAATGGCCCGCCCCGAAATGATTCCCGGGGCGGCGGCAGAAGTCCGCGGCAGTTTGAGCAGAACTCGTACAGCAACGGGCCGCGAAGAGGCGGACATCGCCACTGGGAGGAGGACTTGTTCAGAGACGGTTTCCGAGGCGGCGGCAGGGGACAGGGACGTTGGGAGAACAACGCGTCTTTCGGAGCCAACTCGCGAGGGCGAGGCAGGGGTCCACCTCCCGATCTGGGTGACACTCCATTCAGAGGTGAGTGTCACGGAAGTCACGTGACGTGTGACGGGATGGCAAGGGCTCTGAAGACGGGACGGCGTGCTGGCGCGTGGTGTCGGCGCACGGGTCTCGCGAGACTTCGCGTACCACTGAGATGTTTCGAAACTAGCTTTGAAGTGGTTGGGCTGTGTAAGCCTCTGCTCTATGGGAATGGTATGGTTTGCCACAAGCTGATCGCGAGACGAAGTAAACCATGCAGGTGTTAATCCGGAGACGTGTGTTATAAAATGGATGCCGCCACCGGCCGATGCTTCTAAATTTAGTTCACCTGCCACTTCGTCAGGATCTGAATAGATTGGCGGGGTCTGCATGTGGGATCTGGAGGATCATGAATTGGTCACCATTCCGCCGTACATGCCAAAACAAGTCAAAGCAACTAAAAACTATCGGCCGTCGTTGAAATGTTGGTGGCCTGTGAGGGACTCGGCACAGCATCCGTTCATTGTTAACGCGGACCGCCGTCCTTCGTCAGCCCCGCGGCGCTCACGCCGTCGGCTCTGTTCCAGGATCGATGGAGTTTCGGCGCGGCGGTCGTAGACCGATCACCCGGTACGGCGGTGGCGGCAGTTAGCGACCGGGGTCAGGCCGCTGTCCCACCCCCTGCCGAGGCTCCGCTCGCCCGCCTGTCACTGCCGCCCGCTCTGGCCACCTGGTGCCGGCCGGAGGTCGGGCCGCTTTACTACACGGCTGTTATTGAAATACACTAATGTGAGTGCTCACAGCGAGTGTGTTGGTTCGGCGGCGCGTGGCGAGGCTTGCGTTCTGCTCGGCTGGGGTGCCGGAGCCCCGAGCGACGGGGTGGGGCTGCCCGGTGGGCTCGTGCCGTTGATCGCAGCCGGACCCCAGCTTGACGGACCGCCTCTGACGTCTGCTGACGCCAACACCCTCCCCTCATGGGTCTGCCTGAGATCGGGTGTAGGTCCCGGTACAGTGACTGAACGCAGGGCTCCCGGTAGGGTCTCGCGTTGCCGTCGATGTGAGTCGAATGAGAGAGCCCGTGGGTTGCAAGATCTGTTTCACACCGATGCCGAGTGTCTAGGGGAGAGCCCGCGCGTTGGAAGAACTGTTTCACACCGATGCCGAGAGTGTCTAGGGGAGAGCTCGCGCGTTAGAAGAACCGTTTCACACCGATGCCGAGAGTGTCTAGGGGAGAGCCCGCGCGTTGGAAGAACGGGTTCGCCCCGATGCCGAGTGTCTACGGGAGAGCCCGCTTCTGAAGACCAGACATGAGTCGAAGCCGAAGGCCCGCAACACAGCGCTGTTGTGCATGGGCCATGACGCGCACAAGAGATCGATTTGGTTACCGGGCAGGTGTCCGGCGCGTGCTGACAGTCCCCCCCCCCCCCCCCCCCCCCCTCCAGTTGGCCGCCGTCCGGCAGTAGCCAGCTTTACAGCGTAACCAGCGCGTCCTAGCGCGGCAGTCTCGTAGTCGGATCGACGCAGAGGCGGTATGGTGTGGAGTCACCTAGCTCCACTGAGGCCCGGGGTGTTCAACCAGAAACGCTGAGCATGCGCCGCGGAGACGGGGGTGATGCTGGCATGATCAATATATCCGGAGCAACGTCGGATTTAGCTGTTGTGTTTGTTTCGAGGCTGGAGCCTGAATGCTCATCGAGCGGCGTCGCCTCCTACGAAACTTAACTTGGCTTGAGGTGCATATCGTTTATCCCGACTTACACTGAATCCGGATCCGCCAGCGGCGCACAGTAACACGGCGTCTCCACCGGCGCTGTGATGCTCAACTGGGCCCGCGCCGTCATCGGAAAACAATAACCCTGTGGCGTCGCGCTCAGAAAACCCATGTTCAGCCACATCAACGGAAGCGGATGCAGGTTGCGCCTCTCTGCGTGTGGAGAGCAAGGTTCTCGCGCGTTACTCTTTCCCCGCCACGGCAGTTCAGACTGAAACAGTGGAAGCGAGTCTGCTGATCTGCCGCGGTGCTTAAATCTCGCAGCGTAAATAATAAAGCCACTTTACATCACGCGCGTACCTTGGAGCGGTAGGTACTTTGACATCCAACGGCAATACAAAAGCACTTACTCTGTAAATAGTGTAATGGCGCTCGGTAGCGTCCTGCCTACTGAAACCGCTCAGTTCGCAGGCTGCAGACCATCGGCAGACCGACCTCGTCAGATTGACTGCTTAACGATAGCAGCACGCTATCATGGTGCTATTTCCGAGCAGTCAATAGCACCATGATGGCGTGCTGCTATCGTTATCTTGTAGACAATGGTATGTTTAGTCTACTTTTGATAAGGATCCAATTTTTTCGACGTAACTTAGGCACTGCCTAGAGCTTAGCTTAGGGTGAAAATAAATATCCCGACCTGTTGCCGAGTGCCGATGCCCGTTTTTGTGCCACAATACATGGCCGCTTCCGCGCCTTGTTGATGTCTGCCTTGTAATTTGCGCTAGTACTGTGGCACAGCGAGCCCAGACTGGGCCACCCTTACATGGGTACGGTATAGACTTGCTGTATAGACTTGCTGAGTGAAACAAGAAAGCTTCAGATGGCCAGAAAACTTAACGGCCGCAATCACAAATGTAGGCCAAGAATATAGTGCTGCCATTGTGCGACTCGCTTCCGGTCATGCGATGATCAGTAAAAAACAAGCGCGAAACTGGCGCCGAGAACATACCCAAGCGAATCGTATGAAGGCACAACAGATACGTCAACACGAGAAGCTGTGAACAGACCACACCCACCCCTTAATTCCCTCTTTCGAGACCTCTGGCCACCTCCACCGGGTGCGCCTCTGACCGCCTCTCAGCCGAGTCCTGGAGCCGCCCATGAACTGCTCCGCGACCCTCTCCCGGGCCTAGCCCACTTCAGAGCCAGGCGAGACCCACCTGCCTGGGGCAGCCGTGTAGCTGCGCAGTGCGGCCCGGGAGACGAGGCAGGGCGGCTGGCGGGCCCGCGTCCTCTCCACGGGCGCTCCTCAGCCGGACGGGCACTGGTCGCAGGTCCGGCGTCGAGGCGGGACCGGACCACGGCCGGCCGGGCGGAGGAGGACCGGCGGACCGGACCACCGCCGGCCGGGCGGAGGAGGACCGGCGGACCGCAATTGAGACCGGAGGGTCCAGCGCTGGGATGGGACCGGACCACCGCAGCTGAGACCGGAGGGGAACACCGCTGCGGCTCTGCACAGACCGAGTATGTGCGCTGACCGGACTTCGCCTGGCCGATATGATCGCGGACGGGTTAGTGTGACGCCGAACGTTCGGTTACGGCCATAGGGCTGCTGTGAATAGCATGCCATCGTAACTCAACCTTCAGCGCACATGACAGTAATGACGTCCAGCTGTCAATCTGTCAATCAAAGATGAGAACTGCCACAAACTGGTGACTGGGAACATGGGCCTGTAACCCACATAGAATAGTATTGGTATCTTGTCTGTTCACATTCTCTTAAGTATCTATATTTCCCTCTCCGTATAGTTGCGGGGCTATGCCAGGGTATGTAGGTCCGAGCGTTTAAAGGTGGTTACAGCAAGACGAGCGGTAATTAGACTGCTTTTCCGCGTCAGCCTCGTTTTCGTAGACACACGCTGAGGACAATATGCGGTCTTTGTTGGCCTTAACCGATGTCACCGTTCTTGCCGCATTCATCGAGCGAAGTCCCACGCTTCTTTTTCAGCGCTGGCCCAACCACAGCCATCGCGCACTGCGGCCGGAGACCACGAATCCCAGACCACTAGCAGCATCCCTGCGATCACAGCAGTCACTACGACGTCGCTGGGTCTGGCGGTCGAGACGCGGCCGCCACACCTGACGTGGGACGTCCGCGAGCATCACACGAGTTCACCGCCACCCGTCGGCAAGGCGGCCGCACTGCCGGAGGTGACGGCCAGCGGCGGACGACAGTGGGAGGCGGCCATGATCGAGTGGGCGTGGACCGCCGGGTCGGCGGTCTCCCGACGGGCAGGTTCGGACGGGCCGCGTGGAACTGACCCCCGCCCGCCGTCGCAGAGCCGGCGCCGGCTGGCAGACGCGCTGCCAATTCAGCGTAGTAGTGGTGAGACAAACCGGGACAGAACGGCGTCCGAAGAGCAGCCTCAGGAAACACGGGCTTCTCAGGAGAAACAGGTTCCTCAGGAGAGACAGGCTCCTCAGGAGAGACAGGTTCCTCAGGAAAGACAGGCTCCTCAGGGGAAACAGTCTCCTCATGAGTCAACTCCAGAGGAGCCGCTAGAGACGCCCGACTTGCAACATCTCGCGGCCGTGCCCCAGCACCTGATGGACATGGTTATGGTCGAGATGGGCCCGAGGGTGACTCTGGCGGAGGGCCGGAGCAGACTGTAGCCGGCAACAGTCGCGCCCCGCCACCGGGAGCCCTCCGCGGCGCCCAAGCAGCGCTCATGGCACGTTACTGTTGGTTCCTTTGGAGGCGGAGTCTTGTAATGACGTTTTCATTTATTATCCAGCGCATCGCCTCAGATGACTAAAATGAGTGTTGGGTGTTTGAAGCGCATGTCCTTGCGACGGAGTGATGGTATTTTGTTGGCTATATTCTAGACCCAATCGAATCTCACAGAACGTGAGGAAAAAAAAGCAGTGCCGACGCGGACTCGTGCGATCTTTTAGCTTCAAGTCATTTGGTCCGATATCCTTTGTCAAACTAAACGTCAAGTGATTCGCTTTGCTTTCTTTACACTTATCCTCCAAAAACAGATGATCCGCACGCCCGTTTGGTTTCGAGCAGAATATTCACCCTATACGTTCACGCATGGGATGCGTTTGTTTATTGCCACTTGTGGGCATCCATGACATCAGATAAGGTGACACACCAGAAACAACACGGCGGAGTCATCACATGGTCACGTGACTGGCGAGCACGTCACTGAGACACGGCCCAAGCTGGGCATCCATCCCTCTGGCCAATGCAGAACCGTCTTCATAAGCCCTCTGCCGTGCAAAGGTAAAGCCGCGTATGTCATTTTTTGGCCAAAAAAGGCTTTTTTATATCGTTCGATTGCCCAAAACAAGCTGCATCTGATGGTTCTCTCACTTATACTGTTGGACGTTTTTTGTGAAGTTATTTCGTGAGTGATTTTGAGAAAAAACGTATGTTATACAAATTCGCTAAGATGCAAAGGTAGAAACACGCATGTCCCAACTAGTGACAAAAACGCGCATCTTTGGACGTGCCTGTTTCTATCTTTGCATGCGGTGCAACAGCTTGACATACGTGCTTTTGACTGGGATCTCCGGGACGCGAGTGCCTCAAGATAGCGCTGCTCAAGCTATATACACGCACGCTAACCGCGGTACTGTAGTAAATCAACGCTTAAATAAATTCGTAGCATTGCCGCCACGATCGCAGCGGGAGTGAAGTGTCCACAAGATGTAAAGCTATTTTACGATTTGTTGTCTTCGTCTGCCGAGTCCTTCAACGTAAGCGACTCAACAGTCGCGAAATAGCTGGATGCACTATGAAGCCCCATAAAGGGCAAATACCGTGTGCGTATCGAAGAGTAGTTGGCGGAAGACTGCATGTACTCGTGCAGTGGGAGGACCAGAGCAAGGGGCAGTCTCACTATGCCTTAAAAAGATGCCACTGTGGTGGGTCAGCCGTCACTATGCTACACCGCAAGAAGCTATGGTCAGGAGGCCTAGTCTATAAGCCTCCGAGGAGTGCAGGACTAGTGCAAGGCGAGTTCTTTTCAATTAAAAGTGTTATTAACGAACGAGGTGTAATGAAACTACCCGAAAGACAAACAAAACTAACAGTAGCAACCACAAATTTGAGGGTTCGTCCCGCACCAGACAGAACATGCCCTGGCGCCATCTTCACACGGTCATGTGCTCGTGAAAAAATCAGTATGAAGAATATAAGCAGAAATGGTTTAAATCATGAACTCCATCGCAGTAAGCAGCTTCATGTTTGAGAAGCCCATCCCAAGTATAATTGACAAGCCGGCCACATTTATGCTAAGCCACCGAGTCTTACGCACTGGCATAGTAGCCGCGCAAGGTCACGTCAGGCGCCGGTTTGACACTGAAGGTGATGATAAAACCCTCGCTGCTGGTCTTTGGGACGCAAGGTTTGTATGTTTAATTTATACCGTACACAGGCTTTGCATTTACGGAGGAAATTACTCCCGTGCCAATTCGTGTGAGAATATTTTCGTTACGCTGAACCTCGGATGCGTCCGCCGAAATCTTTAAACGATTTGTATGACCGTACACCGTACACCGTACACCGTACACCGTACACCGTACCGTACACTCCACTACGTTTGCTGAGACAATCTAAATATTATCGTGCGGCAGACAAGCGTAACATGATGAAAGGTTGCAGGGATCATAACGTTAACAAATTTTGCAGATGTCCCCGACCCGGCATTAAAACCATCCCGAGACATGAAAATCGGTCTCGACTCGGTCGCATCGGAGCAGGCTGAAGCGGCACGTCCAGACCCGGACCCGGTCGTCGTTACAACACCGGAGCAGCTGACGGCACAAGACATCATCGTGGCACTGCAGGAGTTGGCGGGTTGGGACATCATCGTCGCACCGCAGGAGTTCGCGGGTCCGGACATCATCGTGGCACTGCAGGAGTTGACGGGTTTGAACATCATCTCAACACCGGAGTATCTGACGGATTACAACTTCATCGCAACACCGAAGCAGTTGCTGGGCTTGGAAATCGTCGCAGCAACAGGGCAGTTTTTGGATCAGGACATTGCTGCGGCACCATGGGAACTGCCGTATCCAGACAACGTCCCGGCACCGGGGCGGCTGACGGACCAGGGCATCGTTGCGACACCCAGGCAGGTGACGGGTCCATACATCGTCGCAACACCGGTACGGCCGATGACGCTGCCGACAACGTCGGAGATCACCGTACACTCCAATGAGTGCTCCCTGCTTGATATATCCTCTTCCCTCGATCTGGAAGCGTCATCCGTACTAGAAATATCTCCTCTACTGGAGGCGCTCAACATGCTGAGCACCCCACCCGGACACACCACAAATCAGATGGCTCCTGTTCCATACGATGCTCCATCTTCTCCGCCTCCTCCGCCGAAAAGGACAAGGACATCACCAAGCAACGACAGGAGGCGCCTACCAAGAATGTACGCGCTCGAACAATGCACAACAAGACACCTCGTCATGCAGAAAAACATACGCTCCAGCCGGTGCCAGCAAGATGTCTTGAAAGTTGCAAGACCAGCTGTGCAGCCAAGATCGGACCTGAGTGACGGGCAGAAATCAACGGCGAGGTCTGCGCACTGGGGAGGGAAACATGACGGCAGTGGTACTGCACGTACGTCCTGCGGGTTCCGTCTCAGTGTCGCAGAAAAAACAACAGAGGGAACATGGACCCACGGAAAAACAACAGCTTCCAATGGACCCTTCCATCACCACCGGAGAAGAACGCAGGCGACACATCCACGAGCGACAACAAGAAACCTGTCGAAGTTTGCAAACCATTCTTCGTGTCCACGCTGGGCTTTCGAGAGAACTCCGACTAGGCAGTGATCACCGCCGTGAAGAACGGCGCCACCTATGCATCACCCCGTAATCATCGAGGCAAAAGCACGCCAAGTATAAAAGGACGAAGACAAAATATCTCAACATATTATGTCCTCCAATCCAGTGAAACACCACTAACGGTATGAGCATGCTCCGCATCCTTTGTACCCCCCGCACGACGTAACAAAAGATGTACACAGACTACATGGAGGCAGCAAGCCGTGGTGAGGTGGAGGCCTGCTCACGGCAGAGGTACCGGCAGTCCGTGAGACGCCTCAACATCGGCAACACCCAACTCTCTGGCGACGAATGCTCGAAGTGTTTCCGTGCACATCCAACACGTCGCCAAAGTTCACGGTCGCCTGATCGCGGAACCCGATCACCATGAAGATAGCTGCTTTTAGTGTTCGGCACACGATGACCACCTTCATGCTGCTAAGGAGAGCTGGGATTTGTACCGGGCCGACGCTGACCGACTGTGGAGGGATAGTGACGGCGGATATGATGAAAGTGACCTTACTGCCCATCATGCCGATAAAAGAGTGTATTTTCACATCCCGTCTGATTGCGTACAACGAAACATTCCCGGTGGTCATGCCGAGCAAGGAGATGAAAACTGCACGGCGTCATCTGCAACGGACCGACAGCGCCTGCGTGGTGTGGCACGAGGCGGCCGCGGGACGGTCGGCGGAGGAGGTGGCGGCCGCCTTCTACCTGCACCTAGACACCAGCTGCCGGAACAGAAAGGCGGTTACCATCTGGGCAGATAACCGCGCTGGGCAAAACAAGAACTGGGCGCTCATCAGTGCCATGCTCCAGCTCGTACACTCACCGCAGAACGCCATCACGACTGCCACCTTCAAGTTCCTCGAGCCAGGGCACACAGCGATGGCAGCTGACGCCATGCACCAGACCGTCTCACGGCAGCTAAAAGCAACCGAGAGGGTGGAAGATTTTTCGGACTATGTCACAGCAGTAGAGGCCACTGGTGGGAAGAGCGTGCTAATGTCTCCCGGAAACAATACGCGCCAAGCTGAAGATGGCATCAGTGGAGCGAAGCTGAAAAAACTGACTCCAGACAACGAGCGGCCATACGTGGCTCAGCTAAAGTCCATCCAGGTCAGACGGGGTTCTGACCTCGTGTTTACAAACACAAACGTCAAACAAGTGTCGTATAAAGCGTATGACTTAACAATACGACGTTCGACCCAACGAAGCAACCAGAGCTCAATCCGACATCGAAAATGACTGGTGCGCCTGGGAAGGTGCCCGAAGTGCTGCGCCATATCGCTCCGCATATGCCTGCCCACAAGAAAAGGTTCTGGGAAGACCTGGCAGGCCAGTCCAAACGAACAACAACGTTTGGCAAGCGGAAGCACACAACCAAGTCGCCACAAGGTCGCAAGAAGCGCACAGTGCAGTGAAAAAAGCGAAGGTAGTTGGCCCTGCGGTGCTCAACTGGCATGCCATGATGCTCATGTACGTCCGTAGGTTCAGAGGCAGTTTGGGCGTTGGTCTTTACTTAATACGTTGTGATGTAACTGGGCTGTGGTCAACCTCCCGTCCGTCTCCGGTAGCGTGCGCCGCGGCAGATGCCGCTACGCAAGTTTCGCCGTCGACATTGTTCTGTTTGCATGTTCTCGTAAAAGAAGTTCACACAAAATGTTTCGAATAAAAGACATGGTTCTGAGTCGTGCAAAACTGGTGTTTCATCTGTGAAAACTGATGTGTCATACACGGCCAGTCATGCAAAACTGTTGAGGAACGTGCAGCAAGGGCCACACTATGAATACTTCGCTCTGCATGACAACGTGCTTGCATAGGGACATACGTGTTTTTGCTCATGCATTTCAAAGTGCTGGTGCATTAAACAGTGTGCATCTATTGGCGGCAAAAACACGTATGTCATCCGCTAGTGACATACGTGTTTTTGTCTACGGTACTCGGCTCAGGAAAACGCGATATACGTGTTTTGCCATGCTCGGGAGTGACATACGTGTTTTACCTTTGCATAAGCAAATTTGGTTGGATAAATTTCGCCCTAGTAAAAAAAACGTTTGTGAACTGTGGAAAATGTGTTGCGCAATGCTGTGAGAGATAAGCTCCATTCAATGCGGTATCGACAGGAGGTTCCAATGGTATAATTTTTGAATCAATACGAGATTTGCGACGTGAGCTATCGCACTAAACAGAAAATGGCCTCTTCTAAACATTTTGTTTGCGAGACAACGTGACATACGTGGTTTTACCTTTGCACGGCAGCCCGGGTATGCAAGCTGAGTTTATTTGTTACATAAAGCACCCAGCACCCCTCTGATCACACCAGGATACCAATCAGGGCCGCCGCGTCGTTACCAGGCGCAGTGTGATCACAGTGGGGCGATCCCACCAGTCACCCTGCCCATCATCCCACAGATACTCCGCTGTCTGAACAATCACCGAGCTGGAGCAGTCACCCGCGCGGTCACACACTACCCAGGGTCCCGACCGATGACCCGTGGGCTGGGACACGCAATCTTTGTGTCATACGCATGATTACGCAGCAATTGGAAGCCATACTCGCCCTACGTGGCTACCTCCCCGTCCGACTCACTCCCCCAATCCGCCCATCCGAATCGGCCTTCATCCAACTCACCCTCCCAACCTTCCACTCCCCCTCCCCCCCCCCCCCGCTTTCCCCCACGATTTTGCCACACACAACTTCAACTCCCACACGCTTTGAGCGCAACCTAGCCCGCCGCGTCTCTTTTCCCGTACTCTCCGCCTTCGTCTACCCCACGCACGTCCGCCGGCCGTGACAGCGACGCTACCAGTCACGTTAGCACCGACACTACCTCTCGAAGGTCAGCACCAGCTCCAGATGGTCCGTGTGCGGGAACAGATCGACGGGCGCGGCGCGTGTCAACCGGAAAGGCGGCGCCCGTCCATCCTGCCGACAGAGCGCTGCCAAGTTGGCCGCCGTGCGCGGGTGGTCCGGCTTGCAGGCGATGTAGATGAGCCGCCGCAGCGGCGCCGCGGCCCGCAGCTGCTCCACCACCGGTGGCGCTGGCGCCAGAGGCGGTGGCCGTTACACGAGCCGGGCGGGCGGCCGGGTCACAGACCCGCCAGTGGCGGCGGTCCGCTGAGACCAACGGTCCGTCGGCATATACCGAAACACCGATCACATCAATGACCAGGGCCGATCAGGCGTGGACAGCCACACGAGGTCGGCGGCGTCAGGTTGGGG